CTTTCCCTGCCACAAGCTCTTCCCCAGTAGATAGAAGTGATGACTTTGTTTCAGGGCTTTATCCCGTGTGATATACGGTGTGGGGGTTTTAATAAAATTCTGTCCTTGGAGTCTAAAATTTTCTGTTGAGGAAAACCTACCATGGGAAGAGCTGTCCTTAGTTAGCTGTGCTGCTGTAGGGTAAATGAAGACTGACTTCATGTCATCTAGAAAAACCCACTCAGGAAAAGGAGAGTCCAAACTCTGTGTGCAAGCACAAAGCAGCTATTTAGTGTCAAATGATAGCATGTACTGGAGCTAAGGATTATGTAAATGATACTTAAAAATCAAAACGTGACTTCTTCTGGGACCACGCCAGGGGACTTCAAGGTTGTAGAAAATGACAGTATCCTGGTTTTCCTTCCATTAGATGTATGACCTTGGACAAGGGTCTGAGCCTCCATTTCCTTCTTCAGTTCCATTACAAATCAATAAGATAGTGTCTGGAACAGAATAAAGTTACAAAGCTGAGTCCTCTCCTGTCTTTCTCTTGTTCTTCCCATGCCCCAAATCTTTTTTTCTTTTTGTAAATGAAAACATTCAGCAAGAGACTGAGGCAAATAATGATACTTTTTCTTTTTAGCTTGTTCCTCACTTTCCCACCCCCCAATCTTACTGTTGTTAAAGTGCCATTGAGTTGGTTCTGACTCATAGCGACCCCATATAGGGTTTCCGAGGAGTGTTTGAACTGGCAGTCTTGTCATTAGCAGTCCAGGGCATATCCCCACAGCACTACATCAGGACTCCAATAATCCTGCTTCTTATTTTTATTTACTGTCGAGTGGGTTCCAACTCTTAGAGACCCTGTATAGGGTTTCCTCGAGCAGCTGATTTGGCGCTATAGGATAAACACTGGACTGTGAACCACAAGGTCGGTGGTTCAAACCCACCAGCCGTTCCTCAGAAACTCTGTATAGACTCACTATGAGTCAGAACTGACTTGATGATACTTAACAAGAGCAGCTGGTGAGTTTGACCTGCACATCTTTCAGTTCGTGTCCCGTGCTCATCCTACAGCGCCACACCAGGATTCCAGTAATCTTACTAGTTGGGTTTTACTGTGATGGATAATAGAGAATAAAGACAAAGGCCTTAAAGCATCAGCGCAGAGTGGTAACTTAGTACCTGTGCAAGTTTCTCAGCGTTTGTGGAACCCTAATAACTCTCTCCTGAAATCCATTACATGATGTGCTATACACTGGAGACGCAGGTGCCATTTCTAGCCCAGCAGATTTAGGATGCTGTGGGACAAAGCACTGGACCGGAAGGTCTGTTTGAACCACAAGGTCAGCTAGCCAAACTCACCAGCTGCTCCTTGGAAACCCTATATAGAGTCACTGTGAGTCAGAACCGACTCAGTGACGCTTAGCAACAGCAGCAGATTTAGGATGTGTTCCTGTGACAGCTGCCATCTAAGGACACTGAATGTGGCCACAGGGCTTAGACCTGTGGTAAAACAGCCGTAGTGTTATCACCAGCTGACGGACCAGACACTGAAACCTCGGTTCTCACAGAAGCCAGCCTGAGGAGCCCCTCCCAGGTGGGACAAGAAGTGAGAATAAGAGAACTGTGACCACTTACCAACACTAGCTGCTAAATGACAGTGCTTTAAAAATGGACCTATATGGTATATTGCAGGAGTCCTGGTGGCTCAGTGAGTAAGTGCATGGCTGCCAACAGAAGGGTGGGCAGTTTGAGCCCAGCAGCGGCTCCGTGGGAGAAAAGACATGGCGATCTGCTCTGGAAATGATTACAATCCTAGGGGGCAGTTCTGCTCTGTCCTGTCAGCTTGGTATGTTGCTGTTATAAACAACAAGGGTGTGTTTGTTGATCCTTAAAAACAAGACAAGGAAGGTGAGCCCACTCTTGATGAGTGGTGAGGATTTTCCCGTACTCCTGACCAGGTTAGAGAGGGCCAGGGTCAGCCACCTACTTCTGGTGAGGAAGCTTTATTTATTGATGACAGAAGGACGTTGCTTTGGCGGTGCCATTCATAAAAACGGTAAAACTGCAAGGGAAATAAATAATTTGTTGTTTTAGAAGATCATTTTTCCATATGATGCATTTTCTTAGCTCTCCTTACCCCTTCCCAAATGGCCCCTTTCAGAATAACATTCTTAATACGGTGTTGTTCATCTTCACTGACCCCAGTTTTAAAGTGTGGAGTGAGTTCCCTGGTGTCTTTATGCATGGGGTATTTACTAGTTGCTGCATGAATTTATAGTTGGATGAGGAAGGCTGCAAATAAGAGTTCGCTTGTGACGAAATGCAAGTCTGCTTTCTGTGTATGCTGCACCTGGCTCGGTTAAGTGCTGCCGAGTCACTTCTTAATCATAGCGGCCCTGCATAGCGTTCCCCAAGGAGCAGCTGGTGGGTTTGGACTGCTGACCTGTAGTTCGCAGTCCATTGCGAACCCTGTGACACCACACCTGTCTCAAGTGACATTTATGTTTCTCACATTGGCTGGGTTATTCTGCGCTGTTCTTATTTGGAAATCTAGCCCTCATCGCAGGGTGTTTCCATATCTCTTTCTTAAGAGACATACCTCATATGAGCAATGAGTTGTTGCCCAGAGTACAACTGTACTCCATAGGGTTTTCAATGACGATTTTTTGGGTAGCTGATTACTAAGCTTTTCCTTGGAGGTATCTCTGGGTGGACTTGACCTCCAACCTTTCGGTTAGCTACCAAGTGCGTTAACTATTTGTACCACCCAGGGACTCCCATATCTGATATATACACATGCCTTTCCTTGCCCAAGATCATGCTTGTTTCAAGTAATAGGAATTCCTTGAGCATCTACTATGTGGCATATGCACACTAGGAGCTGAGCAAGGCCCCTACTGTCCAGGTGTGCATTAACTAATGGAGATGACTAAGGGGTCCCTTGAGATGAAATTGGACAACTAAAACAACAAGTGTTTTGGTAACACTGTGGCTTAATGTTTCCATACTAGGATGATTTTGGTTCCGACCCATAGCGACCCTGTACAGGGTTTCCGAGGGTGTAAATCTTTACGGAAGTAGAAAGCCTCATCTTTCTCCTGCGGAGTTGCTGGTAGTTTCGAACCGCTGACCTTAAGGTTCACAGCCCGATTCGTAACCACTACGCTACCTTTGAAATAGATGAGTACATATAACCCTAATGTAACTGTGCTTTTGTTTTAATATGTATTATATTATTGTTTAGAGCTCTTGAGTTGGTTCTGACTCATAGTGACCCTGCATAGTTTCTGATGAGCAGCTGGTGGGTTTGAAACACCAACCGTACAGTTCAAACTGATCTTGCGGACCACTGCTTATCCTACAGTACCACACCAGGACTCCAATATGTACTGTTGTTGTTAAGTGCCGTCAAGTCGATTCTGACTCAAAGCAACACTGTGTAGGGTTTCCAAAGAGCAACTGGTGAGTGAGCTTGAACTGCCAACCTTGCAATCCAGACTGACTGGACAGCGCCACACCAGGACTCCAGTATGTACTGTGGTGGTGGTGGTAGTGGTGGTGATTGTGTATCACTGAGTTGGTTACAACTCATAGCGACCCTGTATAGGGTTGCCGAGGCTGTAAGTGTTTGTTGTTAAGTGCCGTCAAATCAGTTCCAACCCATAGTGACCCTGTATAAGGTTTCCAAAGAGTAGCTTGTAAGCTTGAACTACAAGACCTCTTTATATCTATTGTTAAGGGACATTGTTGTAAGTGGTATGAAATATGAATATGTAAACCTCCACATTCCCTAGGTGATTGCTTGCTGTCTCCATGACTGAAAATGGACGGAATGGCAGCTAACAGTTTTCTTATTGCAAAGAACTATTTCTCATCCTGAAGCTCTTTGCTCTGTGAGCCTGGGCCTGAGTCCCTCTTCAGGAGCCCTTGTTCTGGTCTGCCAGGGAAGTGGACAGACAGGTATTGGTCAGAGTCTTGTCTGCTACTCAGGGCTTCCAAACAAATCTGTGTTGGAAGAAGTATAGTCAGAATGTTTCTTCGAAGCCAGGTTGGCAAGACTTCGTCTCTCCTGCTTCAGAAATATCATCAGGAGGGGCTAGTCCTTGGAGAAAGACATCACGGGAGGGTCATCGAAAAAGAGGAAGACCCCAAAGGAGATGGATTAGTACAGTGACAGCAGCAGAGGGCTCAAGTGTAACAAGAATTCTGAGAGGATGGTGCAGAACCAGGCAGTGTTTCATGCTATTGTACGTTGGGTTGCTGTGAGTTGGAACTGACTCCATGGCGCATAACTGCAGCAATCCAGGACTTGTTTACATTGAAGTATCTGAATGATTACATGTTTCTACCAGAGCTCTGCTGACAGCTCTGGTGGTGCAGTGATTACACTGCTAACTGAAAGTTTGGCTGTTTGAACCTACCAGCGGCTCTGTGGGAGAAAAGATCTGGTCATCTGCTATTAGAAAGATTGTTGTTGTTAAGTGCTATCAAGTCGCTTCTGACTCACAGCGACCCTGTATAGCGTTTCCAAGGAGCATCCGATGGGTTTGAGCTGCTGACCTTGTGGTTCAAACTGAACCTGTGGTCAGTGCTTTACCCTACAGCACCACAGCAGGCCCCTGTTACAGCCTCAGAAACCCTATGGGGGGAGTTCTACTCTGTTCTAGGGGGTCATTTGAGTCGGAATCTACGTGATGGTACACAACCACAAGAGCAATGCTGGCAGGCACTTCACAGAACATTTTCAGGTATATCTTGCTTGGGCAGCTGATCTTCCATGTGGCAATGGGCCTGGTGTCTGTTTGCAAATCCCCAGTGCTGTGGAGGGGACCAAGGCTGAATGAAGATGCTTTTTTGTTCAGCTGATGATTTGTTTGTGGCCCAAGACGTGAGACACCAGCATGTTTCAATAACTGAAACACAAGGATGCACGACCCTTGGAAAATGAGTTCGTGTTCTAGGAATCGTCTTTTTGATTTGCTTTTAAATCTGTCTCTTTGTATGTTCTAATCTAGGTGCAACATTAGAAGAAATAAGCCAACACTGGGACTGGCTGGAGCAGAATCTCCTGCATACTCTGTCTGTCTTCGATAATAAAGAAGACATCGCTAGTTTTGTGAAAGGGAAAATAAAGGTGGGTCCTTGACGTTAATGTTTATGCCCACATCTTCCTTTTTAGGGTCCTTCTGAGATCTTGAACAGAGTGTCAATTTTAATCCTACCCTAATAATTTTGTTCTCTACTATAACTATACTCTCTGATTACATAAAGCCAAATAAATTTGACTTGTGACTTGGCAAACTTGGCAGTTTTTGTTGTAGGTGCTACTGATTCATAGTGATCCCACGTGATAGATGAGAACTGCCTTATAAGGTCATTGAGGCTGTAATCTTGACTCAGGTAGATGACCAAGTTTTTCTCCTGGGGAGCCACTGGCTGGGTTCAAACTGCTGACCTTAGTTAGCAGCCAAGTGCTTAACTGCTACACCACCAGGACTGCTAAGATTTGGCAGCTGTTGTTAAGTGTCATAGCGACCCTGTATAGGGTTTCCAACGAGTGGCTGGTAAGTATGAACCGCCGACCTTGTCGTTCAAACTGACCTTGAGGTCGAGGGCTTATGCTACGGCACCATGTCAGGACTCCAAACTTGGCAGAGTCAGTCTTTACTTCAGGGGGATTTTTGCAGAGCAAAAAAATGACGTGATTCTCAGGCTTACTGTTTGTTCTCCGTTATAGAAATCAAGGATCTTTTAGTTACTTGTTGTTAAGTGCCACTGAATCGATTCTGAGAAGCAGTTGATGGGTTTGAACCTCAGATCTTGTGGTTTGCAGTCCAGTGCGTGATTCGATTCCTTAAATTAGTTATCCACAACTGTTTTGGAGTCCTGGTGCGGCGCTGTGGGTTAATGCGCCAGACTGCAAAGCTGTTTGAACTGCAAGATCGGCACTTCAAGCTCACCAGCCGCTCTTCGGAAATCTTATACAGGGTTGCTATGGGTTGGAACCAACTCGATGGCGCTTAACAACAAAAACAACTGTTTTTCACTTGTGTTATCTTGTTACTCTCTGTTTATTGCTGTTGGACCTAGCCAGTAAAGAAGGATTCCTGATAGTGTTGTGGGTTACAAGTTGAGCTACTAACCACAAGGTCAGTAGTTAGAATTTACTGAGAGAAAAATGAGGCTCTCTGCTCCCATATAGATTCACAGCCTCTTAAACCCTACACAGGGTTGCTGTGAATCATAATCGACTCTGCCTTATACCACGCCAACCCAGTAAAGAGTTCTTTCTTCCTATAGGTGCTGTGGGGATGTTGATTTTAAAAATATGTTAATTAAGTGAAATTCAAAGCCAATTAAGTTTTGAAAGGGCAGGGTAAGAGGATTTGGGTGATATCTGATATCTGCTGAATACCTACTTTGAGTTACAGTTTTATATAACCTGGTTTCACTTCAATAACATAGTTAATAATCGATAACTTTAAAACCTTGACCTGAGGGAGAGACTTTTCTCATTCTAAATTTTACTTTTCTATCATTAAGTACTTTAACTTACTTTTTCTCTTTCTGGGTGTAAAACCTTCCAGGCCATTGGTTTTGGGTTTTTTTTTCCTAAAAAACTTGCTTTCCCCAAACCCTAAGTGTTTCTGCTTTTAATAAAGGGTGTCAAAGCTGAATTCTCTTGATTTTAAAGGAGCAAAATGTAAGCACTGTTTTTTTTTGCCTTTGGGGGAAGTCCTTAGTCTCTTAGTCCTGCTATAACAGAAATACCACAAGTGGTGGCTTGAAGGAACAAAAATTTGTTTTCTGATAGTTTGTTGCTGTTATTAAGTGCCGTTGAGTCAGTTATGACTCATAGCAACCTTGCATAGGGTTTCCAAGGAGCTATGTTGGATTTGAACCTCCAACCTTAAGGTTAGCAGTCCAGTGCTTATCCTATAGCACCACACCAGGACTCCTCTTTGAGTTTAAGTGTCAAGTTGGTTGCGACTCATAGCAACCCTATATAGGATTTTTGAGGAGCTGCTGGTGGATTTGAACTGCTGACCTTGGAGTTCAAATCGATCATGTGGTCCACTACGTATCCTACAGTGCCACACCAGGCACTGTAGTTCTCTTATGGTTTGTTCTTGGTGTTAAGTGCTATTGTATTGGTTCTGACTTGTAGGCACTCTGTACAGGGTTTCCAAGGAGCAGCTGGTGAATTTGAACTACTGACCTTGTGGCTTTTTTGTCCAGTGCTGATCCTCCAGTGCCACACCAGGAATCCTTCTTTATAGTTTGTTACTGTTGTTAAGTGCCATCGAGTTGGTTCCAACCCATAGTGACCCTGTATAGGGTTTCTGAGGAGCGGCTGGTGAGTTTGAACTGTCCATCTTTACAGAAATAGACTTCTACATCCTTCTCCCATGGTGCAACTGGTAGGTTCAAACCATCAACAGCAAGAATTGTTGGTGAAGAAAGTTTGCGGTAAGCACACTGGGATTTGGAACCAGAGTTCTGATCTAGTCAGTTATTTGTCACCCCCATAGGATCAGGCCACAAGCTCAGTTCTAGGCCCTTCTACCATCTCACCCCAAAGTTAGAAAGGACCCCTATTACTATTATATTATTAGCAAAACAATTGCAGACTCAGATGTTTTCTTTTTCTCTTATGTCCCTGTATCCTGGAGTGACTGGAGGCTTTTATGTGCCTTGGTCAATGTAATCCTTCCTTACTTTAGAAGGCTGTAGAATAGAATGCTCAGTAGAAATGAGACACATTGAGTGTTACTCTTCCAGGCAGTTGTTGGATTGATACCAACATGTTTGAACCTAATGCCTAAGACATTAATTGCTTCTTTCTAAAGACTCACTTTGAACTCATATTTGGGTAACAGTTCTTCAGGGTTGGTGCAATGAGTTCTAATCATGCAATTGTCATATTCCTGGAGGGAGAGCAGGGAGGTATTAAAAATAATTTCAGAACTGGGGCTTGTATGAGGCAACAAGATCCCCAGAAGCAAAATGTTCTATAGAACCAGAGATGGAGGCAGAGATGATGACATGGAGAGATAGAACAGCTGACAACTCTAGACTCTTGGAAACAGAAAGGCTGTGTGCTGGTAGCCAGGAGGCAGGCTTGCAGAAATGTGCCCTTAGGTTGTTGAAATGACTATATATTCCGCCCCCCTCCAAAAAAAAACCCCCCAGAGGTAATAGAAGCAAATACTGTTGAATGATGATGCATGGAGGGAATTATAATCATTGCAGTGAAATGAAATA